AAAATTATATATATAAATATATTTTTATATATATAATTATTATAAAAATTAACCCCTTTCAATGAAAATCTGCAGCTGAGCTGCAGATTTGTTTTTCACTCTTTCATGACGGCAATGTTCAAAGTATGTTGCTGTCACTTGACAGTTTGACAGTTATTGACACTTAGTGACAGTGACATTGTATTCCACCTGTCTAACCTGGTGACCACTTTTAGCTTTTAGGGAAGAAAATAAAAATTTAGTTTTGGGCTGAAAAGTATAAAAAAATTTCTGAAACCCTAGGGATGTGAGGTTTTTCTAAATAAAGGAAAATAAATGAATTTATTTTAATGCTTTTTTTTTTAGCTGTGCTATCTTTCAAAAATATTAATAATAAACAAAACTTGGGAAAATTGTTTTCTTTACGTTTTTTCCTATTTTTATGATATGTGATCTAAATATATAGCCCTTTCTGTCCTCTAAATAACAATATATAATATGCGCGGGTGCATGGGTGAAAGAATCACACAGCAAACATGTAAAAAGTGCTTCAGTAATTAAGGCACAGAAACTGAAAAAAGCTCAGTCATTAAGGGGTTAATATCACTTTAAAGATTTATTGGGCTTTAACAATATTACCTCCAAGCCAAATAATTGTTGCTGCCTTCTGGTACGTACTTTTACTACTGTTATGTTATGGGATGTTGTTTGTAATTAAGGCAGACTGTGACCCTGCACCAACGCCGGGGTGAATATAATGTAAACTGGACACCCTCAATAGACCTTACAATAGCACAAGGTAAGCCTGATGTTTTTTTTCAAATACAAAAATTAAATCATTATTTTTGGTTCTTTGATGCTGCAAGTCCTGAGACTTTTTGATGCTGTGACCTGTTTTCTAGAATAAAGTACAGTATTCTGAATTTAGCTAATGTTCGAGGCAAAATATTATGCCCTCCATAAAAGGGAATCATAGTTATGTTAGTGTTGTCAACTAGATCTTTCAATGTCACCTACAGAGATACAGTAAAACTGTTATCATGACTGTTACAATGTTTGGATTCAAAACAGGAAAGGGAAAGCTGTAGAAATGTTTTAAATTCTTAGGTATAGGTAGTTCTGCTCTGAATGAGTATCAAATACATCTTGAACATTTCCCTCTTCACACAATTCAGTCCAATCCTTAATCAGAACAGGAACAGGAACTATTGGCCTTGTGGATAGTGTATATTTGCAGTTGCGTCACAAGGGGGGTGCGGCCCGCACTCAGGTGCCACCATTGGAGAGGTGACACCAAAATGACTAAGTCATTTTGGTGTCACCCCCTATGAAATGTCAGACACTCGGTCATGGACCGAGAGCCCGACAGTGTCAGGAGGGAGGAGGGGACCCGGCGGGATACCTTATCCCACCGGGTGAACGTCCCCTCCTCTCTCTGCTGGCGTCCATCACCAAAATGGCCGCCGGCAGGCATCAAAAAGACCAGAGCGCATGTGCGATGACGTCATCGTGCATGGCGGCAACATCACACGCGTGGTGATGACGTCACGGCGCGGTGACACCCAGCCTCGGGACGCCACTGTATATGTGTCACCTAGGTTTCTCACCTTTGTGTGGAGTTGTATCTGTTATGGAGAGTTTTCTGTTCTGGTCTGGGTCTTGGTCCCAGAAAACTTTGGGGAGCTTTGGGTGGGAAAAAGTCTCCAGTCCTAGGTCCACATTTTACCTCTTAAGCTGACCATACACCTGTAGATTTTCTGAAGATTTTCCGTGGTCATATGTAAAAAGTGTAACAGATTCCTTCATCTACGCTAAACTGTGTATGGGGGAATCTCCCACTGGCCCAAGCTTCAGTATCTTGCTAGTTGGCCCTGCTGGCTGCCAAAATACCTGAACAATCTGAGTGGATGCAGGCATTGTTTAGGTGTTTTGAAAGCCAGCGGGGCCGACTAGCAAGATTTTTTCAGTCCTGCATGTATTGTTTTTGTAGTCAGGGTGTCTCGAGTCGTATAGTACAGGGAACTTTTTGTTATTCATTCTATTGCATTCCAGTGCGGTGTAGTGCGATTGTGACGTGTTCTAGTGCGTTCCTGCGCAGAGAAAATGTGACATGCAGTATTTTTTTTCCTGTACTTGAACGGATTGCACTGGTGTAAACAGAGCCCAGAAATCACATACAAATGCATTGGGATGCATTTTTGGTGGGGAAGAAAAATGTAACTTACCGGAACTGATCCGGACATGGTGTGAATGGGCCCTCAAGCCAAGCTAAATGTAAAATTATCCCCCAAAAAATACACATGCAAAATATGTAATGGCAGACAATAGTGTGTGAGGATTATGTAGGGTATACATGGGTAGATGTATGCACGAACGTTAGTATGAAAAATCCCATCTGAACGTTTGATACTGGCATCAGAAACTTGTCAATTGTCGTTCGAAGTTTTGTTTAATTTAATTTTTTTATTTAACATTCTATTTTCAAATGAATGGACTTTCTGAACAAAAACCACATTGAATGTTAGAAATCTGTTCGGGAACATTGACGTTTTAGTCTGTCGATTGCACCATACTAATTGATAGATATTCCAACGTACATTCCGAAAATGACTACTTTCATATATTCGAACCGTGTATACCCTACTTTACACTGTTCTGTAACACCACAAACAGCTAAAATGCATCTCTTAAGCATATAATTGTGTTTTTCTGCTGTCACCCTCGAAGATGCATGGAAAGTGGGAACCTCTCCCACCTGTACAGTATATTTTCAATTTTATTTTGCATTTGTACATGTGTCTCATGGCAGTGCCCAGCTCCAAATGCCCTTTCCTTGACAACCCCTTGCCTATTAGCCTTAAAAAAGGCCATCATTGATTTTCAAGATTTGTCCCCTATACACTTCAATTGAAAGAGAGAGGAATGAGAATGGGAGGTTCAGTGATAGCACCCTGTCAGGTATACTGTAGTTCACATGTGCTGAACTGAAACATGCTAACAGGAGGAGAGAGCAGAGTGGCTAGCTCATCATCCTGCTACTGCTCATTTATTGTTCAGTCAAGCTCTTGGGGCAGAGAGGTGGCTTATCTGTGTTGCATAACTGCAATAGAGAAAAATTATTATGATTATATGAGGGTAAGGTAAATCTTTTTCATTTCATTTTTTTTTTCATTCAAGTTGTTTTAAAATACATCTAATAGAATGTATATTAAAAAAACATTTAGTTTAGGGTTGTTCCTCTTTTTTTTCAAACATTGAAGTAGTGATGTTGTGACCTTTGATGAAATACTTGTGAGAGGGAAGTTTTAGACATATTGCTTTCTTGGAAAACATTTCATCCAGAAGGTTGAATTTGACTGTGTATTGTATTTATGAGTTTTGATTGGCCATTTAAATGCCCAACCAGTTACATATGCCTACCTATTTCAGTTAGGAACATTAAGATATGCATAACAAAAGGGCAGAGGAGTATTGGCCTCAGTGTTTCTTCATTGTTTTTTGTTTATTATGGGTCAATGGCTCAAAGTATTCAAACTGGAGACAGGGAACTATTATTTTTAGAAGGAGGTCAGCAACGGAAGTCTCTATATTTCTCTCACAGTAGATTTTCTTTAAAACATAACTAATCAATCATTATTTAATAATTTCATCTCAAATCTTTGGTGTCAAGGGTTCAGTTTTGTATGTCACAGTAATATGTATTTTATCAGGAAAACCTTCCTGCCATTCATTATGAATGGCACCCTAATACATGTACAGCAGTGGGCAGAGCACATGGCATGCCTTGTGGTTCTCTGCATTAAAGAAAAGCTGCATGTCCAATTCTTCATAAGTCGTGCTGCCAGCCAATTCAAAATAAATGGGCTGCGTTAACACAGGAGCATCAACCCAAAGGATTAACCGAAGGAGATTAAAGTTGGCCATACCCCAGTAGAAGTTTGTTCTAAAAAAAAAAAGAATTTTTAGAACTTTCAGTTTTCTAATAGTTAATGGGAACAAGGATTGTTTTCAATCTCAGTGATGAAAAAAATTGAAGGAGCTTAATTGAATTTTTTTTTCGAATGAATGAAATTCTAACAGTGAATGTACTCTGGAAATTCCATTCAATTTTTGAACATTGTCAAATCTCTGATGACATTATCGAAAGTTCAGATATATCATATGAACATTCATATGAAAATCTACCAGTATATGGCCATCTCATGAGTTGGAGGACTCGGTATGCAATGGTATGCTGGATAGACGCAATAATCTTGGATTTTATGGTATACATTGATCATGGTTGACAGGATGGAGGATTAAAATAAGTTTACATTTACATCAATGAATTCTGGTGTTAATGTAAAACCATTATGTACATTTTAATATGCATAGGATAATATTTTGTTATATAATAGCATTCAGTATAGCCAAAAAATACTAATAAATAAATATATATACTCTGCTTTGTCAACACTTTGTAAGGTACATACGTAAGTTGGGTAGGTGCTACTTCTTTTTATTTAGTCATATCACACGTTTTTGGCTATGTAACAGGTTTTATAAAAAATGTTAACAATTCGATAATATGTTGTACATTTTCATACATTTTGACAGTCATACATTGCGCTAAGGTACTCAGACCTTTTTAGAGTCGATCAAGCATAATTCATACACTATCTCCTGTTGGGGGGCCCAAGTTATATATCAGTAATATACTTGTTTGTAATATAATAAATAAAATGTAGTAATAACAAAAATCATTCAGACAAAAACATTGTGAATCACACATCTCTCAGCTGCATAATGGCACTGGCTGTCAGTCAAGAGAAAAGCTCCTCCTCTCTGAGTATATATGAATGTAATGGTTAGTCAAGAGCTCAGCTGTTCAGAGTCTGCTTAGGCATGCATTTGTAAAGCAAGCTTTTTCTTAACGTGGATCATTATTGCCATGTCTTCTTCACACCCAAGGAACAAGGCACGCAGAGGAAGCTATGATGGGATTTTACACAACAAAAACACAGTGAGTTCAGTTAGTTTCTGTTATTTCTGTGTAGCACACAACTATTGTGTTACACTGAATGCATAATATGCTCTGCCTTTTCAGCTGCTTTGCCCTCTCAGGCTTGCGTCTGCTGAGATATCAGGTGATTCTTTATATGCTTAAAGGGAATTTTGTGCCTGATCTGTTGCAATAGCAACTGGCAAGTATCACTGTAGCCAACTTTGGTATTTTTATAAATGCCAGTCACTCTAAACTGGCACTGCAGTTTGTTTTCCATGTCCCCAAATAGTCACTGCTTGAAACATTTGTAGAATTATTGCTTTGGTATTGCTTTCATATTCGCTTTATATAGTGCCATGCTGTGTGTTAAATGAAAAGACTTACTAGCAACCTATTTGGATTTATTTGCAGTGTCGAGGTAAAAAATTTTTACATGGATAAAAAAACAAAAACAAAATGTTATTTTTTTCTATTTTGGTACACCACACTTGGTGTAAAATTCTTAAAAAGCTTGCAGCTAATATATCAAATAAATATATCAGTAGACCTATTGTTTATATTTTTTGCTTTCCTATTTCCCATGTCATTTGCCAATGTCATTCATTAGACATTCAGGAGGACTAGCTATTGGTGTATGATTTACTCTAGGCAGTTTTAGATGCTTATACTCAGGTCTAGTTCCTTTGGTCAAAAGTTTGAGACAGTTTACTAATAGGTGTACAATTTACTCATTTAAAAAAAATGAGGTTCTCGTTCTCAAAGTGTTTAAAATAAAAACTTTTTTTATAAGGCTTGGAAAACACATATCCTTATTAGTAAATCACTCACTAAACATGTTAGTCTTATTAGAATGAGACTCCTTGTGTACCTTGTTGTCAGAGGCGTAACTAGAAACCCAAGGGCCCCGGTGCAAGAAACCATTAAGGCCCCCCCCCCAATAAAAACATGATTTTGATACCTTTTTTATTTCTTCTATTAAATAAAAAGTATGTTTTTTTTAACTTTCAGGGCTAGTTCACATCAGCTCCAGTGTGTTCCGGCCGATTTAGTGCTGGAACACACTGGATTGCAACCCGGCCAGCTTACTGCGTTCTTTCAGTGGGAGGGGGCGTGGAGGGCATTATAGTTAATGGCACCGCAGTGCGATCACCTGCACCGGAACGCATGGCAAATCAATGCCTGCGTTCCGTTGCGGTCATAAAAAATAGTGCATGCAAATGGAGATCCCTGACTGGCCATCCCCCCACTACAGCGTCTTCCCCATCCCTCTGTCTGAACTGCGGTCTGCAAGTGTCAAAAACACTGCATTTGGCGGGCCCTCTTCTTTCTTCATGTGCTCCCCCCAACTGGCCGGACACCAGGGGCCGGTCGCAAATGCGAGCGATGTGACCCTGATAATTTTGCCTGCGCTTAGTATGGGGCATTTTCACAAGTACGTGTGAAAAAAAACAGTATTGGCATTGGTGCATCCCAACTTACTAATATAATGTATTGCTGGGATTTGTAGTCCTGCATAGCTGGTGGTATTAAAGATTTATATAAGACATATTCCTATTAGTACATCACTCATTCAGGCTGTGTGAGACTGTATGTCCTGTAAAAACAAAAATCTGGTTTTCTGCTTTAAATGCATGGATCTGTTAGCTATTTTACACAAGTGTATGTTTCCTAAAATTGCAATCTTCAACAATACAAGTTTTTAAGGGTGTGACCATATCAGTCTATTACAAAACTGATATTTCAGTTATGGAGTACGCTGGTGGATAAACTCAACCCTTAGCATTTCTTGGAGATTCCAGTACCAATAATTGTACCCTTCAGATTGCCCTGCGTTGCAGTCCCCACTATTGAGTCCTCCTCTTAGTCCTGTAACAGGATTACTCTGAAATCCATAACAGATGTAAAGGTTTGGGGTCTAGACTAGAGGTGCACTGAAATGAACATTTCAAAACCGAAATGAAAAACAATGTTGGTCCGAAACCGAAAATGTTTTTTATTTTAACTTTTTCAAATTTTTTACAAATATTTTATTTATTTTTTATAAACTTTTTACATGTTTATTTTTATTCCAAATTGTTATTTTTTTACTTTACTTTTAGGGGCTTCGAGGAAATATTGGGGGGTCTAAACAGACTTATTATATTTTCCTTTTAAAATAGAAAAATAGATTGAGGGCACGGAGTCCTCAATCTCTTTCTCTGCATCTCCTGTTATAAATGAACAGGAATCCTCTATACTGAGTGTTCCTGTTCATTCATAACTTGTGCACATAGTATGTTTACTATATCCACAGCCATGAATAAACAGGAGGTGATGTAGATCACTTTCCATTCGTTCATAATTCAAAAGGATATAGTAAACATACTATGTGCTCAATTATCTACAAACACTCAGCGATCACTTATCGCTGAGTGTTTGTACTGCTCTCCTTCCTGAAACAAGTCACAAGAGACTGAGCGAGCTGAGCTCAGCCTGCTGTGACAGCGCTGGCTGTCCCCGTCCACACCGCTCTCCCGATCTGTCACAGGAGGCTGAGCGGTGCGGGGAGGAGAAACGCCGGCTGCTCACAGAGCTCTTCTCCTGCAGTGCTCAGCCTCCCGTGACAGTTTCTCTCCTCCCCGCTGGTACACAGCAGGGAGGAGAGAAAGAATGGATGCACTGCTATTACGGCCAGAAAATTGAACTTTCTGCATTTTTGCGATATGTTTTGGCGGCCGATATATCGGTGCATCCCTAGTATAGACCATTTAATCTTATAAATAAGAGGTATATAACCTGGAGCTTGCTATGCAAGGCTGTTGGAGCATCCAGAGTCTTATATTTCCTTAAAGCATGGAGAGCCACAACTTCCGTAATAAAACTATTCTAAAGACATGGTTATATGTTAAGTCTTCCTTAGACAGCAAAGAACAAAAACTAAGTTTTCCATATCTAGTTCATGATGTCAATATATAGCCAGTAATTTGTAGCAGGCACAATGGACCTGATTGGATAGGCTTAGAAAGTGGTATTGCAAACGATCCTGGAGAGTCATTTAACAGCTCCATTAAACCAATGGTCATTTGCTAGTGAGTGTAGTGCACAGCACATGTATTCATATAGGTCGTTGCTTCAAGAAAAAGTTGTCCAGCTCTTGAATAGTGATGGGCGAATCTGCCATTGTGGAGGGGAGTCACAGATGAGTTGGCTGGTAGGTGGCTAATGTTGGTGCTACATTTCTGCCAGGAAAGCAATGGCCAGGAATGACTGCAAAAGTGACCACAAACCCTTCTGGCCTGATGAGGGACCTCCTGAAAGCTAGGGTACTTCATTATGAACCGTGGCACCATCAGGTTGAGGACATCTGCCAGACATGGTACATGCGTGATTTTTTTTTTTTGCCACACGAGAATGTTATGGAGGAAGGGGAGATGCAGAAAGAGAGGGATTAGGAGGAAGTGTATGTGCCTTTTGCTACTGAATTGTCTCTTGAGGTGCTGCTCACACCACTATGCTCTGTGGAGCAGAGTTGTGTTTCCTCATGCACGTGCTCCCACGCTCAAATGGCTGGTAATTTTGCCACGGCTAATACACTGCAGGCAGAGGCAGCAGATACATTAAAAAAGGCCCACACTGCAAAGATCTGTGGACTGGCCTGTACCTGTGGGGTAGGACATCTGCTTCTTCCAGTCCTCTGAAAGCTGCCCTGCCCCTGGACAAAATCCTCTCTCACTGCTGTTCTGCCTCTCCATCTAAACCTTCCTCATCTGCAATCATTGGCACCATTAGATGGTCTGCCACCCCATCATCTATCTCTTGCTCATCGCTGGTGCCCACTTTACAGTAAGCTCCAGCTGCTGGAGCATCACTGCCTCGTGCTGCTCATGTGATCAAATAATTCCATCCAACTCCTCATTGCCAGTTTCCAGGGCTCTAGCAGGAAAAAGAGGAGGGCTTCATCAGCCACTTCACTACCTCCTGCGTGTGCTTTGGCTATATAGCATGGCTGCTCTGAGATAGAAGAGGCAGCCATGCCCTTCCTCTAGATGATTCAGTCTAACCACCACTTTGTCCTGCAGAACCTGCTCACCACCTACTGCCTCTGTGTATAGAACCTATGCCTCTCACTTTAAGCCTGTCTCACATTTTTTTAAAATAAAGGGGACTGCCTAAATTTAATGGCAGATATGACAATAGGGAGGATAAATATGTATTCCTTTGGTGCACACAGCTTTACCACACAGTGTCAGCAACAAGCGTATGCTGCGTACTCTGAAATAAAAAAGGCCCTAGCAAAATAAAATATACCTCTCCAAATAAATAAAATCTGATACATTAAATCCCAACCCATTTTTTTTCAGGAGCCAGTAAAGAAAATTGGATTAAAAAAAAGTACATTAAAAAGAAAAACAATAAAATATCAAAATAACAAAAACAATGTGGAGGGCAGTAACCACTCTAAACCACAACTACAGTTGTTGCTAACAC